ATTACTGTCTGGTGTGGGGGTGTCAGCGGATTTCAGTGCATGGTAAGGCTTCACATTCTTTCCTGGGACCCACTTAAGTCCTTGACCTGTAGAAACACAAGCAAAACCTTTTCCCCACGTTATGAGGTTGTATGGCCCTTCTATTTGCCCTAAGTTTTTTATTAAAACTGGGGGGTGTTCCTTAATTTTTGCTTTTTTGTTGTTCAGAAAGTGTCTATAGATGGGGGGGTCAGGCTCTTCTGTAGAGCCATTTAGGAAATTGTAAACATACAGAGCCTTACTCAATCTCTTTTGAGGTGTAGCCTGATCTACTCCTCCTTTCTGTTGATTTAAAATGCGTTTTAGGGTTTGGTGTGTTCTCTCTACCATTCCCTGACTCGTGGGAGAGTGAGGGATGCCAAATGTATGGTGAACACCCCAATCATTCAGGAATGTGGCTAATTCTTGTGAGGTATATGAGGGACCATTATCAGTTTTAATCTCTTGGGGAACACCTAAATAGGAGAAGGCTTGTGAGAAATGCTGGCAGACATGCTTGGCTGTCTCCCCTGTATGTACAGAGGCAAAAATTGCATTTGAAAATGTATCAATAGAGACATGGATGTTTTTAAATTTCCCAAAAGATGGATATTTAGTGATATCTGTCTGCCATTTCTGTAGGCTCTCCAACCCTCGCAGGTTGGTGGCTGCTGAAGGGGGGAGGGGTTGCACATGCTGACAGCTTCGGCAAGCTCGTACAATATTTTGTGCTTGCTCTAGGGAAATGTGAAAGTCTCGTTTGATGGCCTGTGCGTTTTGGTGAAAAAATGCATGGCTCAATTTGACCTGTTCAAAAGTGTTGGGCAAGGTGGTTGCAGCAAGCACTGAGGTGGATTTTTCAACGCCTGCTGAACTTTCCTCATCAGACGCTGCTGATGCCAGTGCATCAGCACGTGCATTTCCCTCTGCCATGAATCCTGGAAGACCAGAGTGAGCCCTGATATGAGAGATAAAGTAAGGATTAGCCCTGTGTGATAAAATGCGATATAAACAGGTGAGCCAAAGACACAAATCGTTGTTGTTCACATCCTTTAGAACGGATCTCTCAATTCTCTTAATGACATTAGCCACATAAGCTGAATCTGTGATCAGGTTGAAAGGTTCCGGAAAGAGCTGAAATGCTATTACAACTACAGCCAATTCAACAATTTGAGGGGAACCTTCAACTTTTTGGACATCTTGTTCCCAGGTTTTAGTATTTGTATTTTGCCATGTAACAACTGAATTGTGTGTTCGCCCTGACCCGTCAGTGAAGATAGTGATTGCGTTTAAAGGTTCTTCACTGATCATGGGCTTTTCCTTGTAACATAATTTGGCTTTGGTCATTTTATGTGCTGGGTAGTGAATTGAGCAGGCGCCTGGGAAGTCCAGCAAGGCGTACAGCAGGTCCTCCGATTTTTGCATAGCCCAGTCAAAATAGGTTTTTTTCATGGGCAAGTAAATAGTTTTAAACTCACGGCCTGCTATTGAAAGGAGCCTTGCTCTGCCTTTGATGATGATCTGTGACATCATTTCTAAAGGCGTGAGGATTGTCTTTGGTGACCTGTAGGAGATAAAAACCCATTCAATTATTAACAGTGGATCTTTGAGAGAAGAGTCCCATTGGAAGATGAGACCACACAGCCTCAACTTTTCCCCCAAGATTGCAAGGAAAAAGGGTTGACCAGGAACATAGCGATGTGCCTGCCTGTTCTGCAGAGAGTCAGTGATGTGTTCTAGGGCCTTACAAGCCTCTGGAGTGAGAGACCTGGGGGATCTGAGCTCATTGTCCCCTTTTAACAAATCAAAAAGTGGAGCAAGTTCGTCAGCAGTTATTCCTAGGACAGGCCTAGCCCAATTAATTTCCCCTAAAATCTGTTGTAAGTCCTGCAGAGTGCGGACATCAGTTCGGATCTGTATCTTCTGGGGGGAAATAGACTGATCTGTCAGTTTCCAACCTAAATACTTCCAGGGAGCAGTTTCCTGTATTTTTGATTCAGAGATCACCAGTCCAGCTTTTTTGACTTCAGCAACAGCATAACTACAAGTCCCTCTCATCTGTTCTTGCGTTGGTGCTGCAATAAGCAGATCATCCATGTAGTGGAGGATAACGGATTGTGGGAACTTCCGGCAGACTGGAGTCAGTGCCCGGGCCACGAAATATTGGCAGATAGTAGGCGAGTTTTTAATTCCTTGTGGAAGGGAAAGCCAATGATACCTTTGAAGCGGTTCTTGTAAGTTCATATTCGGGACGGAGAAGGCAAAACGAGGAGCATCATCTGGATGCAGTGGGATTGTCCCATTTTTAAACCAGTGTGGCTCACCTCGGTGTCGCAGAAACGGGGTCCTCTGTCGGGTTCCGATGTACACTCCAGTCAGTGCTTAGGATGCTCCGCAGGGGTCTTCTCAGAGCTCCGGGGTCGGGCGTCACTCAGGGACGGCTTCAGGTGCTTGGGAGCTCCAAACCCCCCTCAGAGCTTTAGCGCGGGCAGTGCAAATCAGTGCTCGCCTGTGCTCTGTGCACGTGGCAGCGTGCCACGGCAAGTCTCCCAAAGCCTTAGGTCACCACTGAATCACAGCGGTCGCCTGTGCTCGGAGATATAACGGGCAGAAATCCTCGAAGGGCTCCCAAAACTCGCTACTTGGTAACAAGTCGCGATACTCGAGGATTGCCTCGGCAATTTTTAAAGAGCTCTGGCTTCGGCGCTGCCTAGCAGCAAAATGCCGTGCTCATGACAGTGATGGGGAGGAAATACCTGGTTATTTAGTTACCGTCCATGGAAAGGTGTCCTACAGGTAGAAAAGCTGGAAAGGCATCCAGATGGGTGTGGTTGCAGGTCACCGTGGATTCGTATCCGAAGTTGGGCACCAGTCTGTAAAGATTTTTGATTGGGGTATTCCATGGATGGATATAAGCGAGATCTCTGTTGGTTGCTCTTGGGGGATGAGGTTTATTCAGGATGCATTGTGGCCCTGCCTCGTGCTGTGTAGCAGCACGTGGCAAGGCCTGAGGTGATGGGGGAGGGGAGAGACAAAGGGGGGAGCAGGGACTCCCGGAGGAAGTTCCAGGAGGAGAGGGGAAGATCCAAGAGGGCGTCTGGCCCCTCAGAGACCCCTTATCAGGGGGGCTCCAAGGTGGGCTGGAACAGGACCTGGGCCAATGGGGTCACAAACACTTGATGTTTCAGGGGAGGGTTACAGGTGGGGGTGAACCATACATTCTGGGGGGTGAGATGGAACAGTCCATTTGGCTTTTGGACCCCTCTGTAGGTGAGGGTTATTGTCCAGCCAGTAGGGGGCGTTATATTCGTCGTGGCTGTACTATTGTGGTTCTCAATCATATTTATCTACCCTTCCCAACAGGATTGTTCATCACATGTAAGGAATTTGAAGCTGTCTGGAAAGAAAAGCAGCACTAGGACTACCTGCTCTGATACCACACTAGCAGTCCAGTGACAGTGCAGATAACAGATCTTTGGAATAGTAATTCCCGTACTTAGCAAAAGTGAGGCTGAGTTTGTAGCCTACTTACAGAGAGCCCATTCTCTGCCTACATAACATGGATCTAACTCACTTACTCCTAACATCTTTAAAAGTTTAAAACACCTTTGAAGTTAACCTTCGAAAGTCTAGCATGTTTGCTATGCAGCCACCTCTTGATCACACTTGTGCTTTTATTGCATTCATATTCGTCTTCAGATGAAGATATAAGACAGTCAAAGATCAGACTCACCAGACAAGTTTTGTTCTGTTCATGTTCTGAGTTCGCATATTTAAAGCCAGATGACAGAATCAACCTTATTTCTGCAAATTAAACAACTGGACTTGTGAGATTATTTTACCCTAAAAAGAGCTTCTATTTTCAAGAAAAAAACAGATGTGACATGAGGCTATCCAAAAACTATGATAAGCAGCACAAAAAGATAATCCTTGAACTTATTTTTCATGGTTAAGAGTTTCATAGTAATATTCACTGCCACAGAATAGCATTAAAGAGTACAATTTCTATAAACTGGTGCTATTTGCTGAACAATTAAATTTGGGAATTGAATTGTTTCTCTGTCCTATCTGCTAGTAATTATCTGCCTGCTTAGGATATGTCAGCTCATTCTGTGTGCTAACATACAAAATTCTTTAATGAAATGGCCAGACACAAAGAACTACAGGAGATTCAGTAGCAAAAAAAGCTTTGACTGCCTAATGTTTGCTCTACAGAACATGACACCCAAAATACCATCTATAACACAGACGTAAAATTCTAAACACTAGGCATTTTAAAATTAGAAACAAAGCTGAAAGGAGACCAACTAATATTGTGGTATGGTGGACTTTCAATCCAGTTTGCATGGCATTGCCACCAAAATATCATCAAAATAAATCAAGTCAAATCCGACTACTCGAATCTGAGCCCAAAATGAACAGTTCTGCCATGTTCAGAGATTGTGGAAATTTGGTATATGACATTGAGAAGAATCCCCAAAATCAATATATTAAGAACTGCAGAAATTTCTCTGTGGAAAGCTAAAATCAGTCTAGTAGCATTGTGTCTTTTCTCATCCTGAGTCCTGAGCAAGGCTTCTAAATGAGCTGTTGTTGCCTTTAGTCTCCAGTGGCCAAAAGAAACTCTCATTTGAGGTGAAACACAAGTAAGCAATATGTCTTTCCTTATAAAATTATTTCTTCAACTGCATCTCCAGTTCTCATCTCCAGCCAGTTTGGTTGTAGGGTACCACAAAAGGGGTGACAACCTGAATTGGCTGTAATCCTTTCAAGTGCTAAAAGGAGATTCCAAGACACTACAGCAGACCTCTATCTCCCAACGTGTGCTGAAAGTCTCCTTTCTGAAGGAGAGGCAGGAAAACTAAAGCAGTGCTTTAGCTCAATGATTCTTTTCCCAGCCAGCAGCTCAGTGTGTGAAAATGGATAGTCCTCTGAATATTCCTGCTCAAAAACAGTGAATGAAACAAATGAGAAGCCCAAGCTATTTCACAAAATGTACCTTTATTTATTCATTGAAAAATAGCCCTGTGCTGTAGCCAAATATCCCCCACAGCACCAGTTACCTGCAGGGAACCTGGCACACAGTTTGAAACACAGACGTTGTAGCTGGAAACATCAGCAAAAACTAGGGAGGGGACAGAGGCAGTGTTGGCACTCAAATACAGTGTTAAGGCAATGCTATCCAGGCCACCTGAACCCAAGGTGGTTAGTTTTAGTCACCCTCCCTTCTTCCCAAAGACTACAGACTTCTCATTTGAAGACTAAATTAGAACATAGAAAGTGAAGGAGTTTAAGAGTAGCTGATGTTCTGACAGAACCGGCTTCAAATAATTAATTTTTATCCCCATGATGCCTAGGAGCTCCTTGATCCAGAAATTCTAGGATGGTTCATAGCGCAGACATTCACAAGATTGTTACTGAAACTTGATTCCTTGAGCCAAAGGCAAATCTTTGCTGTAGTTGATTGTACTGAAAGAGAAACAACAAGTTAGAGACCAGACTTAATCACTGAGACAGATTATGAAGTCCACATCCTATGTACAAGCTGCTTATTTCTGTCACATCTAAACAAAAGATTTCTCTAAAGCAATTTGCCTACTTAAAATTATGAACTAACTTTACTCCAGTTTTCAATATACTAACCATGTAGAGGAAAAGACCATATTTGCCATTATCTCTTTCTTTATGGAGAATCTTACTTCTCTTTATCTATTTTTCTCATACTTGGAGAATGTCCAGATAGAAAAACCAAGGTGGAATTTCTCATGTTTGTAAGTCCTTGCATGGTAAGCAAAGATAGCACAGGTAAAGACTATGACAGTCAACAGAGGACACTAATCTTCATCCACTATGGGCTGTCAGGAGGTCTGTGGATAGCTAATCAACATATAGCTGAATCACCTACCAGAGGCAGTAGTGGTGCCCTCATGGTCTCCTCACTGTGGCTGAAACTCAGTGTATTTCCTGACAAGTTTCAGTAATTTTTCAGATGAATTTAAAATCAATTGAGGGTGAGGGGGGACCCCAAAACCACCTTATTTTTTTCCCCTTGGAAAGTATAAAAAAAGTCTTCATAAAAACCCTTCAAATCTTCTTCTGCTATGAATGTGAAGAAAAGGCAATCACACTTATAGATGGTCACATTCAGCAAAGATAGTAGCCTTGTAGCCAAATATTTATATGCTTTGAACTTTTGGAAGTTCATCTGTAATTTAAATTTATCTGGTCTGTCTTACCAAGTAGACCGTCTCATATAAAGTTTCCATGAATCACTTCCAGATTCTCTTCCCCCACCAGTGTGCTTTTCACCACCTGTAGCAAAAGCATTATAAATTAAAACCTATTCTTGGACATGGGAATCAGGACTAATTCGAGGAGGTAAGACATTTTTATGAAAATACATGGGAAAAGCTATTCCTTTCCCTTGTCCTATATCTGAGCTAAATTACCACCCCTCACAGCTAGCTCTCCCTTCATGCTTGATGTAAAAAAACATCTTCCTGGAGTTCAAAGGCTCATCACGGTGGCACTAGAGGACCTTGTTTTAAAAACATTCATCTTAACACAAGACAAGAGTACAAGAATGTGCTGGTTCTTGTACTGTTTAATTGGTAAGGTTAATACTTCTTCTTCCACCCCCTCATTTCCTTAGGTATATTAGAAAAGTGAAATAAAGGCAAAAATTTGTATTTAAAGATTTTCTCACAAAAATACTACATACTGTACATCTTATATAAAATTGCCAATATACACAGAATTGCTCAAGATTATTTTAATTAAAACTTCTACACAGTTTTGCACCTGGCCATATATTTAAATACCTCCAGAATATATCTCTTGAGTTACACTCCTTTGATAGAGGGGAGGAGAAGGAAATAACACATGGAATTTTTAAAAACCTAATATAACTATTTTTAAAAGTTTAAATCTAACTACTGTTAGTCAATATCTGTTTTCTGCTAAAGCAGTATGATTCAAAATTAACTTCACTTATTTATTTACATTTAGTCATTTAAATGGATTGAATAAAACATTGAAGAAGCATAAGTAACATACCAAAAGCACCTCCAATCTCAGCTCCACTGGTTGGGATGTTAACATTCACAATGCCACAATCAGATCCCTTTGGCCTACAAACAAAGATAAGGCACAATTCCTCCTTAGGATCAGGAAAGGCTCCCTCCCTAAAATGAGTGCTGTAAAATGCTCAACTAGCATTATGTAGGGTTTACAAAAGACATGAAAGACTGATTTCATGTTCCTCAAGAAAGTATAAAAATAATTTAAATTATACCCAAGCCAGTGGAAAATCCGTCCCAAATCCTTGGTAAAGATACTGCTGGAAAGACCTTGTTTTACTTCATTATTCCAGGCAAAAACCTCCTCTTCCTCCTAGAAGAAACATGTGTCAATGGTTAAGCCATGACTATCCAAAGCAAAGCAGTTACAAAGAAGCTCTGTGAGAAAAAAACCCAACATGCCACAGTGCAATGTACAGAACAGCACTGGGCAAATACACATGCACCAGCAATACCTGCAGTGCTGCATGAAACACAGTCTGCTTTTGAACAGACATGAACAGCATCAACAATGAACACCAACAACAGGAATCTGTTCCTGTGCAGATTCTCATCGTAACTCCAGCACTCTTCACTGTGGCTACACAGTGAGTTGCATAGTGGCTATCTCACAGTACAGAACAAGAGCTACCAATTCTTGAAGCACTGGGACTATTGCATGGATATGACACACATCTGAGATCTCTCTTGTGACTCTACTGTTACCATCCTTGACAGTTGTTTCACCACTGTAATTTTACCTTAAATTTCAGCACATACAGTATGGGAGCAAACGTCTCAGTGTGGACAATGGGTGCATTATGAGGAAGGCCAGTCACAATGGTTGGTTCAACATAGTTTCCAGGGCGATTTATAACCTTTAAAATAATTTAAAAATAAGCAAGTAAGTTCCAATCAGCATTCAATTTAGTATTAGTGTAGAAAAGGAATCTTTCATGGTCTGACCACTACAGCTGAGAAGTCAGAAATGGAAGACCAGATAGTATGAGTAACTTAAGTTATGCTTCTATATTTTAAATACTTAAATAAGTAAAATTTATGTCCACTAAGGATGTAATCAAACTGTAAAGTGTAGAAGCTGAAACTTCCATTCTCTTACTTGTAAGCTACTTAGAATTTTAAAGGTATAAAGAAGTTGCCAATGGAAGACATGAAGCCCCAGAATGATAAGTCAATGAGAATTAAGCATCCTGCATGATGAAGATGTACAAGTGATTGTCTTGTATCTCCAGTATTTCGACAGAACTGCAATTTACCTTTGTTACGTGTTTGACATTCACCATTTACATTGCTTTTTGTATTTTCACTATCACTTGCAATTGGGGAGTGGTCTAAGAGTAGCTTCCAAGTAGAATTGCCTTTACCCTGTGTCCTAGGGTGACGTTATGGTGTTTGTATCTCCAATCATGTGTTCTGTTTACGTTTGATATTATGTTCTGTGCTTTCAGAACTGACTCTGAAAGTGAAGGTTTGTTTTGCCTTGTTATCATCTGGTTCACCTCCCCCCATGGTCTGCTGTCTAGAAAAGGCTAGGGCTGGCTGGCTGGCTCTTGCTTTGCTTGCTTGGCTTGCTTGCTTTGCCTGCTTTCTTGCTTTGCTTGCTTCTGCTTTTGCCTTTGCTTCCTAGTTAGGTTAGCTAAGCAGTCCAATTCTTTCCCTGGACTGTTGCTTTTTCCTTTCCTCTTCCTGAATACCATCCAACCTGCTCTGGACATCTGGGAAACACCAAGGAACACCAGGAGCCTGCATTTTGTGATCTGCAGCAGCCATCCCCAGTGCTGGAGAGCAATCCCCAGCGTCCAGACCTGGGCGACCACTCCCAGGAAAGACTTTCTGGATCTGTTCATCTCTTCAGAGTGGTGAAAGAGTTTTGTTGTCATCTGGTGTTGTTAATTGTTTTGGTGCTGGGGAGTGCTTTGTTCGTTGAATAAACAGGTTCTTTTCCACTTCTCTCTCAGAGGAAATTTTTCCCTGAACCAGGGGGGTGGGGAGGGGCCGTGGGGGTTTATTTCCTGGGGGCTCCTTTCAGAGGGTTTTCCCAAAATTTGCCCTAAACTAGGACACCCTGAAGACAGGATTCCGATTCAAACAATTCTCAATCTGACTAACCTGATATCCTGTAGTAACTGATAGGACAAGCTGAGGTACAAGCTTGGCCTAAGCCATCATGTTACTGTATTTTTTTTCCTAGAGCACAAACTGTAGCAGCAAAAATAACTTAATCACCTTTCCACCACAGACCACTGAGCCACCTTGTTGTTTTGCTTGTTCTACTGCATCAAGGAACATTTTCACTGCTTCTTTGGTATGAAGAGGCCCATACAGAGTGTCAGCTAAAAAAAGATTCAGAAGCAAACTTTCATCAAAATTCTGTATGTTTGCAAATATTCTTATCACAACATCTTGGAATTAACTGTTCTTTCTGTCCAGGATGAGCAGTATTAGCCAGATTCTTCATCTTCCTTTCAGAGTTTGTATCCTAAATGAAACCAGCTATTTCCACCCCCTGGTAAATGGCTAAAATTAGATACTTTGGATCTATAATCACTTTAGAATTTAAACAGAAAGAAACCAGCAGCAACATTTTTCCTAAACCCAAGAGATGGAAATAGCTACTTACAATCCCATGGATCGCCAATGCGGACCTGGGCATAGGCCTTGGCAAGTTTTGCCACCACCTCATCATGGATGTTTTCATGGAGAAACTAAAACATGGTAAGAAAGTTGTAAGACAGTGCAGCCCATGTAACTATTCCTGAAGTACTACTGCACTTCAAAGGGGGCTGAATAAAGAATGGAAATATTATTGCTCGTATTCAGCAAATCCCAAAATGAAAAAGAGACAGAGGCCAAGGTTTCTGAAACAGCACTAACACCAAATAGAAAATGAAGATGTAAAACCTTCATCATAAAGATCAAAAACAAGCCAAGAAACAAGAATCTGTTTTAATTTTACCCCATCTCAGATCAGTGTTACTGATGCGCTTTGTAAACATTTCAATTCAGTGTTCTAGAACAAACCCTCCAGAGATTTTATTGCCTCAGTTTGAGGAATCACTGCCCATCCAATACACCCAAATCAATTAACCTACATCCATTTTGCCTAATATTTATTGAATCAACCCAACTCTGACAAGACTATGCAGACACCGACACTATAACACCACTGAACTTGTTGAAAATGATTGGTTAAGAATTAATAACAAAGTAGGTAACACACACACCCCCTTGCTTTTCTGCAATATAAACACCGAACCAAAATTTGTAGTTGTCATAAGAAAAGCTCTGGCAATGAAAACAGAAATACAGAACTTACTATTCTCCTGACTTACAGCATATTTAGAAATACATACAAAGAAACTGTTTAGAGCTAGAATTACACTGGAATGAAACTGTGTTATTTTTCCACCATACATTTTTTGACAAAATAAAAATGTGTTTTAAATATTATTGCTCTTTGCAATATTAGAAATTGTTAGGCATTTTCTGAGCCAATTTGGAATTAAGTTAAAATTCAGAGCTACCCAAACCAGATGATACACATTTACTCACCAGCCTTCTAGCAGTTGTGCATCTCTGACCTGCTGTTCCCACAGCAGCAAATAAAGCAGATGGAATGACTAGGTTTAGATCTGCGTCTTCAAACACTTAAAAAAAATTGAAATATGAGCATGTTACCGGAGTAAACAAGCAGTTCACAAAACTTAAGAAGATAAACAATATTAGAAACTGACAGGTTGGTCAGGAATCTTTAGGAATAGTTGCACTATTGCACAGCATGGTAAGAAACAAAGGAACACCTCAAAACTCCCACTATTTCTCCGCAGCTGGAATTAGACATATGCAATTGGCCTTAACTATAGGTTTGAACTACTGAAGAGAGCCGTTTGCAATAAAGTTTGCAAATAATTCCAGTTTCCTTTTAATTCAGGAAACTACAAGCAATTTTTTGACATTTCTCCACCTTGTCTGTCTCTCACTGAGAAGTTTATCAGCATAAAGTAGCAATCATAAAGTGTATCCATGTGGCCTTGTAAAAAGCATAGCTAAAACACACAGGTGTACAGTAATAAATTCAGTACAATGAACTGAAGAAATTCATCTGGCTAGAAGACATTGAGATGTTTTATAAAGCTCGACAGAGCCCCAAAAAATCACACAGCTTAACCAATCCCACTAAAGTCTCTTAATCATGCAAAACTATAATGAAGTTTGGGATGAAGTCCAACCAAACAATGATCCTGTGATCCTTCAAAGTCAATTCCAAAAAAGGCAGGACTTTAACATTAAAAAAATGAATTACTTTCAAAGCATAAAAGAAATTTATACTGCTGGCTAAAAAGCCACATAGGAAAAAAGAAGGACCTGTTCAAATGTGATTTTCAAAGAATAGATAATGTAGCATCATGTTTGTACTTCAAATTTCAAGAGTATTTATATGTAAATAAGCACATTTGTCCAGAATATGAGAAAGGTGAAACAAAAGGCAACAGCACAACAGGACAACAATTTGGGTACTTACTGAGCTTATATATTATTTTCACTCAGCTTTATAGTATTTATGTTGTTTATCTAGGAACTGTTTCATACCCTAGGGTACTTAAGCCTGAAAAATGTGCTACTGAAATAAATACCTGTATGCTTTTCTTTCAAGTATCATAAGTATATTAGACTTTATATCTATGTACTTATAGTCTAAAATGCTAAAAGTGTAGTGCTCATGATATTACATATAATAGTGCAGTCAGGCATTCCAACAGGCTTCCCAGGGAAATGGTGGAGTCATTATGGATGGAAGTATCCAGAAGGTATGAGGACATGGCATTTGGAACATCGTATAGAGATGAATATGCTGGTGCTGAGTTAAGAGCTAAACTCAATCTTAACGGTCTTTTCCAACCTTAATGATTCTACAACTAAAACCATCATAAAATCAAATTTATTTTAGTCCACAACCCATTATTGAAGCCTACTGCTTATCTCATTCTGCTCTCCTCTTCAACACTGATTACTTAAAACATCTTGGAATCTCACTTTTTGTCTTAAAACCCACTCCCTCCACAACATAAAAGACAGAAAACCCCTGCAACATTCTATTATTCTACATGAACTATACATACTTTTAAAGGCCCAGTGTGGGGGGAAAAACAAGAAAACAAAAGAAACAGAAAAAAAGTGACAATTAGCTATGAATATTTGCATATTAGCTTCCAAATATCATCTATGGGACTAAATTTCTACAGCGTGTATTACCAATAATGGCATTGTTTCCTCCCAGTTCCAGCAGGCTTCGACCTAATGAAAAACACGAAATAAGTTATGCCATGTGCACATGTATTCACTGCACCTCAGTCAGTGAGGCTACCTCTTACTAAAACTAAGCTTCACGAAACATATTTTTATGGATAAACAAAATGTTTTAGAGATCACAGTCAACTAATTACTCTAGCCAAACCAGAAAATTACAGCAAATACTACATCTATCACATATTATGAAGATATGCGCACAGCAGTTATGGCACAAAGAAGTTTAAAAAGATAGGCAAAAAAACAGCTCTGGAAAGAAAGAGATTAAAACAGGAAAAAGTTGCAGCATAAATAGTACAACATAAAGAATAAGGTCCTACAAAAATCAAAATGCACATAAAATTTAACTAAGCTCATTTATTTCCCTGGCAACTGTTGATCTACAATCTGAGACAAAAAAAATCACAACCTGCATCTGGGTGAATATTAGCTATTTGTTCTGGTTTCTGGGGGGGCTTTTTTTACATTTGTATGAACTTTAAATGTATAAAAAAAAAAAGATATGTTTGCAAGGTGCTGTTCATAAACGAAGAAGTAAGAATCCAGCAGCTGAGATTCTTGCCTGTCCACTTTTAAATATTTGCAACAAAAACAGCACCTCAAAAATCATAACTATGTTTATCAGGAGTAAAAGGTGAGGGGGAATGTATTAAAGTATTCTATTCACATTGCCAAAAAGACCATAAGCCCTGGCTATTTACCCTAACAATTTCCATACCATTTAACACTAATGGACATCACCACACCTCTCCCCAAATTAATTGTAGGACTATGGATTTGTGGATAAACTGGAAAAAAAATCTGAATTGTAACAGAACTACCTGAAAAATGCCATATGTATCTATGAGCAGTTTCAAACCGTGATTTATCCAAGACAAAAAAAAAAAAAAAAAAAAAAAAAAGGTAACACAGCTGAAACAAACTGTTATTTTAAAATCTTATGGGGCACTGCTGCCTTCAACAAATATGGAAAGAAATAGAGAAGAACCCACACACTCACCAAATCTCTCCTGAACCATAAGTGCTACTTGTTTGCCCACTTTTGTGCTGCCAGTGAAGGATAAAAGGTCCATTCTTTCATCTCTCGCCATTGCTGTCCTGCACAATGGAACACAAAGCACTGTGTTCAACAAAAGACATGTAGACAGAAAAGCAGC